TAACGTGAAATAGTTATAATTAAAACGTACGCGCGGAGTAATTTAATTCGAGCAAGGTACAATCCGTCCTGAACTTACAATAAAATATCGCTTCACGACTTCTCTCCTCTTTCCATCTCGCGCTCTATATTATTATTATTATTATTATTATTATTATTATTATTATTATTATCTATTATTATTATTATTATTATCATGGAAACGTCGGTGTTGAATTCCGGTAGGAAGCGTGTATCGCGACTCGCAATAATCGCATTTCGCGTAGGACGTAACCACAGAGGGCCGAACTGCCCGAGATTTCATTTCAGAATGAAAAAGAAAAAAATAGAAAAAAGAAACGAAATATAAGGTCACATTACACACACGAAGCCGAAATAATTTTCTCCGTCTTCCGCGTTTGGAAACGAAGCGTTCCGCGTGAAATTCGTGTAAGGAGCGGGAGCAAACAACGAAATCTTATTTCGCGCTTAACTTCCGGTACAAATCGCACTTCAAAAAGAGAGGAGAGAAAAGAGTTTCGTCTCAGCCTTGCGGCTGATGGACGTTTATTTCTTTTTTCTTTGCGTTTCTTATTCGCCAGAAGAAAATACATTCGCAGTGAGAGAAAAAAAGTGTTCAGTAATTTGTGACTATAATCGCACAGAGAAACAATTGCTACAAATTATAGTTAAGAAAACCATTCTTTTTTTCTTATTAAAATCCACTTATCAATACTACTGTCGCGTTAGAGCAACCAAAACATATGGTTGTGACGAAAGATAACTGTAACTTTCGTTTGATCGACCATTTGTCTCCTCTCAGTGTAGGAATCGCGATAAAAGGAGATTGACGATAAAAACAAAACAAAAAAAAAAACGTGCGAGGTGCGCGTATCTGCGCACGCCCGTGTACACAGAGTCCCGGCTAATTAATCACTCACATCATTCGCAAGCAGAGCCGTCTCTGCTTACATACATACACACACGCACACACACATATTCGAAGGCATAATCTCGTTGCGAACCGCGTCGGTTTAATCCCGCCCATTGACAAAGTGGATTGTCAAAGCGGCGGCGTAACCGATGCCATAACTTCGCAAATTCGCTCCGTGTCTTAGCGAGGGGGAGGAGCGGGGGTTAAATCCCGGCCGCAGCCTGCGGCGCCGCTAATGTGGGCGCACATTAAAGTCATAATTAGCGACTAATCCGCGGATCAACGGTATACCGTGTACGCACGGACGCGGTCCGTGATAAGCGCGGCTTTAAAGAACCCACCGCGAAAGTACTTTCTATCGACGGGGGGAGGAGGAGGGAGCGTGAGAGAACGCGTGCACGCTCCCGGTTACCGTCCGGTCGTTACGAAGCTATTAGCCGCGCTGCATTACGGAATTACCGTAGATGTTATGCTTCCTGACGTGGCTCGCGTTTCGCCACGTTGATCCCCCGAGTCGTTTTGAGTTTGTCGCAACGGTAAAATCTTTAAAGAATCGCGCGAGCGGCACGACACGATATTCTCCGCACGAGACTCCAAGGGTGGCTTTTGTCAACTCGCAATTCATCCAATTAGCGACTTGAAATCACCAACAGTCGAGTATCACCTCGCCCGCGTTTTGCTAAGATAAAAGTTATTAATTTTCCACGGTTATTGTCGAAAGACAGTTGACTAATTGGTGTCTGCAGCTATGTGCCAGTCATTCGTCGATGGGCTTAATTGGAGTTTGATGAAGGTCGCCCCCCGAAAGATTATTAGATTCCTATTAGATTCCTCGCACGTGCGATGCCAACTGATATGCGAGTAACGTATTTTTTTCTTTCTCTTTTTAACACAAAGGCACGCGCTACGCGTGAGTTTTATTAATTACATCACGAATGCGAACAGTCGAAATTAATTAACGAAAGGTTCATCGACCACATTATTAATAACTCACGGCAAATTGATACTCTGTTGTTCTCGAATTAATAACTTCGCAATTAATATTTTATCAAAGCCTACAAACTGTACCCCCTTCCCTCTTTTCTCCAGCAGTTTGTGAAACACGAGGAAAACGACTCGAAATAACGATTCGTCGCCACGCCACGCGACGTCACGCGTTCCGTGGAATTGCATCGTTAATTGGAAAATCCCATGACATTTTGCGTGCACCTAGTGAGATAAGGTTTGCGATCCAGATTAACCGCGGCAGCCTGGCGTGCGCGAGTATCATCTGGGACCCTACCGAGAAAAAGAAAAAAGAAAAGAACGCGAAGGAAAACTTATCGTTATCTTATACCGGTATAACGGCGTCCCCTGTCTCGCGGCATATTTCCCTGCGAAACAATAGCGGGGGATAAGCCGGGATTAAAGAAGCTGCCTGCCGAGTCCGCGCGCGAAGTACTTCCCGTTTCGCTCATGTTCTCGCGCTTTCGCGTCGCGGCGTCGTCGCTCGGGGTCCCCATTAGGGAATCTCGCTCCCTCGGTTGGATACTTGCCGAGTTGAATTTCGGCCAATGCGTGCGCCGCGGCGGGGCCGTCTCGTTTTTGGAATTTGACAGTCGCCGTCGTTGCCACTTGACTAATGGCCCGCGTGATTCCTCTGTTTACCGCGGAAATGAGCTCGCGCCCAAAGGATAGATGCGCCGCGATAAGTACATACTTGAAGCCTTTTAGGGCGGCAGGGCCGGCGGAGAGACGTCTGCTCTCTCGTATCAGTATCGCGCGTCGGGTTCGTGTCGTCGCCGCCGCCGCCGTCGTTTCTGGCTGATGGCACTCGAGTTAATATTGCACCGCGGTTGTGGCGCTCAGAAGCGCGAGCGTGTCAACGTGGTCCGTTTAGCGCGACGTCTGAGCCGTGATATCGCGTAAATGTTTATTCATACGCGAGCTGCCAGCTGTTACGCGTCAGCGAGTTAAAATTGGTGTCGCGGAAAAGTTAGTCTGTAACGCTGTCTGTCGGCCATCGCGCCAGCGAGGTCGGGGGTATGTCGGCGATTGTTAATATTCAATAAAGCTCCCCGTACGAGGAATATACTCGCGGCCGAAACTCTCACGCGTCGATTTCTCTTCTCTTTTTTGCGAACAATATCAAGTTCGAAGCGCGATCGTCCGTCGTGTATTTTATTATACGCTGGAGTTATTCGGCGAAGTTATCAGAAAGTGTCAGAAAGGAATGAAATCAGAGAGAGAAGGTGGAGCGTTCGGGTTTCATATAGCCTATATTTTCCGCAGGATCCTAGAGAGTAACTGTGCACAATTTGGGTTTCAAAGGATTTAGAAGTGTATTGGGAACAGATAGACATTCTATTTTATATATTGTATATTGTTTCGCTGGGAAAGAGAGAGAAAGAGAGACATATCGCGCAGCAGGATAGACGTTTTTTAAGCACGAATCTGTTACGGAAGGTATACGAAAGGGTGGAGAAAAGTCGCGCACATGGGTCTCCTCTCTCCTTATACGTGTCGTTTCTTTCCTCCTCCAGAAAAACCGATCCGACCCGACTATAATCCCACGTCATGGATAGATCTTATCTGAGTTAATCTACTTCTGTCGTATCGTTCTACGTTATATTCTGTTGGAGACCGTCGCCCGTCGTCGTTTTACCACCCTCCTACGTATATCCCACGTACAACAAGAAATGTAGACGGCAGCGCAAAAAAATGAGCGTTTAACGCTCTCGCGACTGATCGGGGGAGCGACCGGTTTCTCGGCTTCCGACTGCTCCCCTCATTTCGCGACGAAAATTATAAGGGATTTCTTCGCTGGGATATCTCGCGGGTATTCCCGAAATACATTTGGAGTAGAACATCGATTGCCGCTTCTTTGAATTGAAGTAGAGATTCTTCGCTAGTTCGAACGGTCCTTTAAACGACGAGCGTTCTATTATCCACGCTCCCGAGATTCTAGACTTCCCCGCGGATATTTGATCGTAGGTGGATTTTAAGATATTCTCTCTATATCCGCGAGGCTAGCAGCCTCGGGGATCCGTGCCCCGTAGTTCTGCGACTTTGTATTGGTTAACACAATTTTCAACAACACTTAAATTATCTTCGCGCTGAAAACTTATTTTGACCAGGCAAGCTACTTGCGAACTTAAGATTACGCAACTAAAGCCGAGAGTGCGCAGTTCGATAAAAATTCCCTCTCCCTCTCCACCCTCTCTCTCTTTCTCTATTTCTTGCAATCTTTCCTCACTGCATAAAATTATGGAACATAATTTCTCCTCGGGTAATCTGAGTCATTTTCTGTTTCATACAATGTTTTGTTTTATAAATGCAGCATTATATATAGTACTTATTATATATATTACTTATTTATTTCGTTGTACACAATCAATCTAACAGCTTTAACATTTATTTGTAATAAGCCTACTAAGATGTTTATTTACCACTCACACACACACAAAAGAGAGTACTCGGTAAAATCTAATAATAATAATAATAATTTTAAAGTCGATATTCTCTCTCTCTCTCTCTCTCTCTCTCTCTCTCTCTCTCTC